GGGGACATTTCAATGGTCGGAGGATATTGGTGGGGACACATCCCCTCCGTCCACCCTAAATCTGCGCCCCTGGTAATGCCACATCGGCACTGCTGCTCCTTTAAGAGCGTGGAGCATGAGCTATTACACAATTTAAAATAGGGATAAAAAGCGGCACTCCTCGTATAGAGCGTAGGAATGTTTCACTGTTTCTATTTTTACTCTACTATCTTACGGGCATTTCTACAGGGCCTTGTGGAGTCTCTAATGAGGGGAGGGTTTCGTTTCTCTTGGGGGAGAGGGATAAAGAACGAGTGGGAGAAAGGGAAGTGATGGAGGGGTGAAGAGTGCGACAGGAAGAAGCCGGGTTCTGAGTATGCACATGAGTGCTGTAGGATTTTGGGTGTAAATCACTCCAGTACTTTTGAGGTAGCCACCCAATCAGATGGCAGCAGCGTACTAGGCCTGCTGTAGCTGTCAGATCCGTGTTTTCCGACTGGAGACTTATGTCGTCCTCAGTCGGTTTATCCCAGCTGATGCGGAAACCACTATATACAAGCCGTAAAATTCAGTTGCCCTGGGGTCTAGCTTTACCCCAGCTCCCTCCTCAGTTAATGATCATTATTGACACTTCCCTAGATGTCCTACCTCGACCGGAATAACGAGATTTGTTTCACTTCACCTATCCAGTGCAGTCGAGGCGGTCGAGGCAGCCACACTGGCGGCTCCCGGTCTGTAAACGTCCTTTGGCCGCGCGGCAGTAAACACAGGAGAACAGACGTCCCATCGTCAGTGATGCAGAAGTTAGGAAGCCCGGCACATGTTGCTTCTTCTCTGGCTGTGATAACCTGTCGCCTGCCGTGTTTGGCTTAGGATTACCTGCAAGATCTGCAGGGGGTGAAGGAAGGGGAACAAGGGCAGACAAATGCATCACTGTGCGGCACGTTAGCTCCGGCCCGTGAGTGGAGAAGCCGAGGATACGTGGCGGGTCACCATCGGGCCGGCAGATAGGACCGTGAGCGGGATCCAGCTCATCCTTGGATGGCATAGAAGAGACGGGGATCCACCCTCGAAGAGCCTCGGAGCTCAGAAACCACAGCCAAAGGGCGAGGTGGGGGGGGGGGGTCACTACTACACCGCATTACATCCCACATGTAATAGAGGACCTCTTGCCCCAGGAATCAAATTCTCAAAGGGATTTGTGGTGAGAATCACAGGCGTTGGGGTTATGGTTCCTGACAAGGGGGCGTAGCTGGTGTGGGGGGGGTTAACTTTTGTCCATCTGACCATGCCATGTGTCTTGGCTTTATCATCCAGGGATCTGGCTTCCCAGATGTTACCGTCGATCACTCCGCCATCACACGGGCTCGTCGGCCCCCACCCCCAGCCTCAAGGAGTTCTGCTTACATCACCACCTCAGCAGGGCAA